ATTTTTACCATAGAGCAGGATAAACAATAACATTTTATTCCATTACACATTGCAATACAACACTTGGCTCTTTTCTGATGAGAAAAGAAACTTGGTGTTAATATTTTAACCTTTACTAGAAGAACTAAAGCACTGCAAGATATTGCTTTCAGCTCAGTCCTCCAGGAGCCAATTCACAATACTGGCATTACTACTACCAGCCCTAACTTCCAAGCACACCATGGAGAAATAATTTTTGTTGGTTTACTATTAAAAAAGCTAAATATTGATATTAAAAGAATACTAGAGCACACAGAAGAGCACACAGAAGTAGAAGCACAAGTGTTTCCATATTTGATCCTTGCAGCATGACTAGTTTTTYATCTCTGCTGAAAGTAAGATACCTGATACTACCAACAATCAGCCAAACAAACCATTTTCAGTAACAAATGTCTTTGCTTTAGTTTTAGAAGACAAGTAGTCCTCAACTTTCATGTGGCAGGAACACATTAAAAGATTGTTCTGTAGCTCTAGTCAATAGCATTTGGGAAAGGGAAGAAGTTGCTGCTGTGCAGACATACCTAAAATACTGGGTTAAAGACTTGTTTGAGAATGGTTTCACTCAACCTCCAATCCCGACGTGATCAACTGAAGTCAGAGTTTGAGAGCAGAGCTTGACTGGCTCATTTGGGAGCATGAGTACCAAAWGCAGCCTAAAGCCTGCTTTCACTTKGTTTATTCTAYGACGCCTCTCAAAAGAAGGCTGTCAATCCCAGCCACTGAAACACCAGTTGCCTTCTCATCTGTAATTCCATGTCCTTGGATCCATAAGATGTTCCCAAAGACAGGTGGGAGAACCTGAGAGCCAYTCAAGTTACATGGTGCAAGGTTCATCATCCCTTTTTGTCCCAAGTCTAAGCAGCACAAACATGTTGCCATCCCCAGAATAGCAGCGCCTCTTGGCTGSGTTTGGGCAGCCCTATTCTTCATCCTGGGACAGGTGCCTGCAGGGAAGTGCCCAGGCAAACTACAGCCAAGACTGACTCAGTTACAGCAACATAATCCTCGGGGCTACACCCATTTCTGCCAACCGCCAACACTTGTGGTGGATCATTCTCGCTACCGATGGCAGCATGCATTTAGCATCTTAACGTACAACAGCTTTTAAAACATGCTTAAAAGGAAAAGTCAAAGCAAAAACTAGCTGCAGCATCTCCTCCTCTATGGGCAGGGTGCTAGTTTGGTCACATGGACTCAGGTAGAAGAGGTGTTCACTACACTTGCATCCTTTCTCCAAACCAAGATTAAATGGTTTTGTTGACACAAGAGAGGCCATGCCAGCTGTTTAACTATGAAAGGAAAGGAGCAGCTTGGAGAGAGGACAACAGTGACAATTTGGGATCCAGCAGCTGTTAGTAGGTCTCTGGGTTCCCACATACTGTTGCGGTCAAACTCCCTCTAGTTTTCACACAAAGCTGCTGTTGGCAGAAGCTCTTATCTTAGAGATAACTGCTGTGCCTCAACCCAAACTAACCCATTGAGCTCTGCCAAATTAATCTCAAAATACATTCTCCACTCTAGCTTCCTAGACTGACAGCCTGCAAGCAGGTTTTTTTTTCTGGAGTTTGACTCATTCTATGCACAACAAGTTAGAAATATAAGAAACTGTAACTTTAACCTGGAGGTGCACTGAAAACTCACGCTTTAAACTAGTCTAGCTAGATACAACAGCTTTTGTATAGGTGCAATGACTATGCTGTGAGAACAAGTGATGCATACTGCTGCTTATTTAAATAGATAGATAATATAAATTATTTAACATTCTCATGCAACAAACAGTTAAGGTAGAGAAWTTGGTGACTAACACAGTGAGCAGCCCTTACTGTGAGGTGGAACATGCAGCACAGGATTATGTTCAAAATAGCAGTTTTTTCTCCTGAAACCAGCAAGCCATGCAGTCAGAAYTCAGATAATTTTGGAAATCTCCCATAGGCAGAAGAAAGGAATACTCAGCACAATTCAGACTCTTGAAAAAATCCTAATAGTGCCAARTCATAAATGTCATAGAATCATAGAATTGTTTAGGTTGGAAAAGACACTTGAGATCATTTGAGTTCAACTGTTAACTTAGCACTGCCAAGTCCACTAAATCATATCCCCAAATGCCAYATCCACACATCTTTTAACTACCTCCAGGGATGGCRATTCCACCACTTCCCTGGGGYAGCCTGGTCCAATACTTAATCCTTTCCAAGAAGAAATTTTTTCCTCATATCCCGTCTAAACCTCCCTTGGCACAATTTCAGGCCATTTAGCCTCATCCTATTACTTGCTGCCTGGGAGAAAAGGCYAAACTCCACCCGGCCACAGCCTCCCTTCAGGCAGTTGTAGAGTGATGCAGTCAGCCCTGTGCCTCCTTTTCTCCAGGCTGAACATCCCCAGCTCCCTCAGCTGCTCCTCACAGGACTGGTTCAGTACAGAGTCATAGATTCACCTGACACAGCACACCCGTTCAGCAGGTAGCATTTAAGAGCACATTTTCTGCAGTGCACACACCCCSCCTCCCAGATCCTCCAGCCTCCCCAGAAAGCAGCTTGCTAGTGTCTGGTTATGATTAACACTGCTTCTGAGTAATGCCACATGTTAACAGCCTCTCTTGGTGATGACTCAGCCCGTGGCTGCAGAACGTGTGCAGGGAGCAGATGAAGCCAACATCAGAGTTCAGMGAATGAACAAGCCATCAAGCGCAGATTTGGCTTACAGCCAGCAGCAGCACTCTGCCTTGCCACGTGGGCAAGCATGTGTGTGTGTTTTCCTCCCCTTCCTGTACTAGTTGCCTTTTTGCAGATATTTGCACTCAATTTGGGTTTTTGGTATGCAGTAAACCTGTGTTAATCAGCAAGATAAAAACACACTGCACAGGAGCCATTAACCTCCTTTAGATATCCCTACAACGGCCTCATAGCAGTTTCTAGATGAATAGTCTTATTAATGGACAGAAGGAAGTAGAAGTCTAATCTTATTATTGGACAAAAGGAAGTACTAGTCTAATCTCCAGCCTCTTATTTTTACTGGGCAATATAGCCAGAGACAAGAAACTGGGGTGCAGGAAAAGACAGGACACTGGTTACTCTTTGACTGGTTTCTGATTAACAAACTGATCTCCAATGAAAGATTTTCTGTTCAACAAATGTCATCTTAGAAGAGTTAAAGGCATTTTTACCCCTCTTACTACTAAATAAAGCTAAATTTTGCAGTTACTACAGAATTGAATGAGCACAAGGACAGCTCTGAGCACACCAAGTGTCTGAACCGGGATGGACAAAAGGCCAGGATTTATGGTATTTTGAAGTGTCTTGCATAGCAGGGGTTTGATTTGCACTTGACTTGCCACCTGCCCATGTGGGAGGTTGCCAAGGCTGATGCTCGCAGACTCAAAGCCCTAACACAGCTAAGGTTCATAATTTTGTCTTCAAGAGCCTTCCAGACAAGCTCTTTTGCATGGATTAAAAAAAAAAATGCCACAGACAGCTACAGAAAGCATTATTCAACCCACATGAAGTAAGTGACTTCAAAATAAAGAATTCTTTACTTTCTTGCCAAAGGCTGAATTTTTTCCAAGCCTACTAGGTTACCTAAACAAGGTCTTAACTCCAGTCTGTTCAGCATATCTTCTCCTATCTTGTATCAGCTAGAGAGTTAGAGTTACATTATCTAATGTGACCTATTTCCTTGTATTCAATTAATGAATTGAGAATTCCTCCAGACCACCACCATTTGCCCAGGCTGCAGCAGAATGCCCTCACCGAGGTAAAAGCTCTGACATCTTCAGACCCCTGAGAGATTACTGTAATCCAGTCAGTATAAATGATAAAAAATACATATGTTACACACCTACCAAGGTTTTTCTTATCTCCAGGTTTGTCCTTGTGTGGTGTGGCAGCATCACTTTATGACATTGCTCAACAAAACCACCTATGAAGGCACTGGATGAGAAGGGTCTGGCTGATCCAGAGGGGCAAACCAGTATTAGGGTGCTATCTATACAGTAGTAATTGCTTCACTGTACTGTGGAAAGAGTGGGTTTGGGTTTGAAATGCTACTATGAGTGGAGCCATATAGTTTTGGAGACTGCCAATCATAATGAGCAAGCAAAGACACTTTTTTTAAAAAAAAACAAACACCTCACATATTCTAGTCAAACCCAGGACATGATATTTTTATGAACTATTTGTATTTACATTCAGGTAAGACCAGTAAGGAGAGGAGAGGAACCAAACAGATTTGGCCATAAAAAACCTGCATGATAGATCCAAACTGAACACCAAGCTTCTGAAAGAAGTTTATTTTAAAATAAAGCTAAAAAAATACCTACATCATACTGAAGAGCCACCCATTGTGTGYGTGTGTGTAGTTGTAGGGTTTTTTGTTTAGTTTTAACAATCAGTCCTCTTACTGTGGATGTTACATTATTGACAAAAAGACAGGGAAAAAATTTAAAATGCACCCAAAACAAGAAAGCAAATTGCATCTGTGGTCTGTAAAGATTCTGGAATGTATATATTGTTAGCAACTTATGTCCAAGACTAGACTTTAATTTTGCAATTACATTAACAACAAAATTCCACAAAGTTTTTAATGACTTCTGTGTTACCAGTTAGCAGGGGGAGAACAACAATCTATTATATTACAAACCTTATGCTAAGAGTGAAGATAATATGCCCTCATTGACTTGGAACAATTTCMGCTAAAATATATGAATCTCCAACTGAAGCAATTCTGAATTATTCCTGTCATTAATATTTACTTTCCCAGACAGATCAGGAATACTGAACATAATTCTACTTTTTGTCCCAGTATCACTACCCTTACAATTCCTGCTGAGCAATCTTTACCTGTACAGACAAGAATCCTACAAAAGCAATGTCCCTTGTGCAAAGCAGCCAAGAAAATATTTCAATTTTTGTACTGTGCAACCAACAGATCTTCTGTTATCASTTAGATGGAAAGAGCATACTTACTGCCACGAAGAGCATGCAGTACATGGAGAATGAAGAATGGCCAGAATAAAAGGATAGTCTGGAAGAGAAAAGGTCAGACATCATCAGTTTTCTTCTACAACATTCAGTGTGCAGTGATACTGATCTATACAAGTGAACTGGTGAAATGCAAACATGTCCATACAATTCTTCAAGGAGGCTCTCTAGGCACATCACACACATTTGACAACAGCTTTTAACAAACAGTACAGACTTCACTACTCGGYAGTTATCCTTTTCCAGGGTAAAGCTGATCTCTGATCTCCACATCACACAATAACTACTYGACCTTTGACAGAAGTTTGAACAGCAAGGGAACACATCTTCAAAAATAGAAATCAAGTGTCCTTTAAAGCTGTATACTTGTTTCATCTTGACAAATGCCAGGATACTTTAAATGTAATTACCTCTTGAAATTCTGTATCTTATAGTCACAGTACATGTATGACTACAAATRACAATAAACACCCCAAACCAATTATTTGCATTTAGTCACCATCAAGATGCAGCAGTTAACTCATATGTAGCAGTTTATAGTACATAGGTACACCTTTGTTAAATGTATGATTTACACAGTGGGTAATTTACATGTATGATTTACACAGTGATCACTGAAGGGTAGGGGGAAAGGCAGAAATGCAGTTTATTAGCCAGCCAACCACAAAAGATGACACCTGATCTAGTATTTGTAGAAATACCTTCATACTTGGCTATCTCATTTAAAGTGTCAACATTGCCTTCAACTCCCAAAGGCTTTTAGCAGGTCCTGAAGAGACCTGACTGACACTTGACAGTGATGCCCAGGACGCCTTTGGCCAGGCCCTCCCCTGCACAGCTGGTTTTGAGGAGCCACAGCTGTAAAATAAATGCCACCCATCTCAAAGAGGAGAAAACACAACAGAAAGAGATTTCTAATTTAGTCTGAAGTAGGGAGGTGAAAGAACTGTACTTAGTACTACTTTATTTCACTTTATGCACAGAGCCTTCTAACAGTGCTGCTTCATAGGCCACCTGCCAGGTCTCAGCCAGGCTTCTGTGCAATTTAGCCACATGAACAGAGCACTCCTTCCTCAGCAGTCTGGCATACACAAGTAAGGCCAGCTTAATAAAAAGTTCCACAGTTTTCCAGTTTGACCTCTATCATACCCAGCAGGTCCCTGTTTTGGTGCCTCTGCCAGGTAGAGACCCCAAGGCCAGGGAAATTCCTGGTTAAGGGAAACATTTCTACTCTTTGGACTAAGAGTCACGAAAGCAGCTCTGACGTGTACCAAGGTAATTAGGTTAAACATACCCTGCTCAAATACCACAAAGAAGGCAATGAAACGCTCCTGTGCACAAGTGAAATGGTACAATTTCCTGAATGAATTTGCAYGTATAACATTTAGTAACTGTGTCAGGAAAAACCTACATACATTTATTCCAGCAGTTTTAGAGCTTTTGATTTATGGTTGATTTAAAACACTGGCAATAGCTTTTGGTTTCAGAGATACTAAATAAGCTATCTGAAATAAGATGACTTTTGTTTCACCAGCTGGTTTTTTTCCAATTAACTTCTTAGAAAGAAAAACTGTATTGACAATGTATCATCTTCAGAGTTTCAAAGTTCAAAACCATTAAGACTACACTGTAGTTAGACAACCCCTTTACCACTTTTGTACTGTAGCACTTAATTTATGGGCAAAAGTCCATTAGAAAAACCAACAAGCATTTTTGAAGAGCTCTGTCCTTCAAACAAATGTCATCTGAGAATGCAAAGCAAGCTGTTCTACAGAAGATAGAGAATAAGGAATTCCTAGCTCCTATGACAATATTTTATCCAATGGTTCTAGGGCTACTCCTCTTGACCATAAGATGACATTTCCTACAATTACTGAAAACAACCCAGAGCCAACTGAAAGAATTTAGAAGACTAGCAACTTCTGATAAAACAAAAACATACCAGTTTTTATGTTTCTTTTGGAATCTCTATACCATTTAAAATTGTTGACTGCTGATATTTTTTGTTTTCAGAAAGTATTAGCCTAAGGTAACATTAAGAATGTCTTGTCCTAAGTTGAAGATTACAAATTTTGAATGCATTCTTACCAGGCACAGGTAAGAATGCTGTACATGTGCCATGATTTCAGCCCTGGCCAAATGCCAAGGCACCCAGAATGCTTCCCCCCGCACCCCTCGGAGAGGCAGAAGGGAGAGAAAAAAAGCCTAATTATCACAAAGATTTATGGATTTTACATAAGAGTTTCATGAGAGGAAGATTTTTTTCACACCTCAAAATGGTTAAACAGGCTRTACAGGCAAAATAGACTTACAACTAAAACTACAAAGAATACCACATGGAAAGAAAGAAGAAACTAAGCCAGAGTAAGGGGGGGAGGAGGTGGCCACAAGGAGAAAAATGGACCCTTAAGACACCCTTCTCTTATCGTCCTTCCCAGCTCTCCCACCTTCCTGTGTGCAAGGGAGGGGGCAGAGTGTTGGAGTTTTCTGTTGAGTTCATCACCCCAGGTCCATTCCAATACCTCAAGAAGAGTCCTTCCTGTGCTCCACATCACTGTGGGGTGCTTCACAGGAACAGCTACTCTGTCAAACTGCTGATGGCATGGGATTCCTTGCCCACAAGAAGGGAAGCTGTCCTCCCAAGGCTAGGCTGCTTCATTCCGGGAGCAAGGCCAGTCCCAATGGCAGCTGCTGCAAACTAACTTGTTTTGGATTCTTCTTGAGACCATACATCATCACAGAGATGTGACCAGCATCTCCAGCTGGCCCARGCTTAGCCAGCAGTATGTCCATCACCTTCAGAGCCATCRGAGACTGGCTCTACAACACAGGGGCGGGTAGGGCTTTTTTGCTGGACATGATGAAGAAGACTTCCAGAATCTTCTCACGGGAGCCATTTTGTGGTTACCGTGGTCCTCCCYCACCACTAAAAAAACTGGACCAAACAAGCCCACCACAACATTTCTGAAAATACGTTGCTTATCACATTAAATATTGCCAGAAATGCAACAGGGACAAAGTATTGATCCAACTTGTACATTGTGCAATCCCAGTGAAATGCCTTTGGCAACACTGCTGTCTCTAGACTTCTTTAAAAAACAGACATTTAGAAAAATCTTAAAATCCTTTCAAACACTAAGACTGACAATGAAAAAGTTTTCCAACAATTCATCAGCACACCTTCCCAAACCCAGAGAACACCCTATCTATCACACCAACCAAGCAGTTGCACAGCCCAGGCTTCTTTGCAGTTGTGCTGCAAGTGCTGGTTTGCCATGAGCCAGCAATAAAACAGTATAGTTAACTCTCCAAATCCCTACCTTTCACCAGTGAAAGAAAAAAATTATCTCAACAGGAATTCACACACCAGATTCCAAAACAACCTTTTCAAAACAGTATTAGTGTAACATCCAGTAAAACAAAAGTATCATAGAATAGAGCTGGCAAGTGCGAAGTCTTGATCTGATGGTTTCCCAAGTGGCCAATTCTGACATCAAAAAGTTTTTCAGAGATGTATGCCTTTCATTTCATCAATACCTACCTCACAGATCTCTTCCTATTTCAAGAACAAGCCTTCACAAAAAAAAAGCATAAGCTTGAATTATTTCCACTTGGATAATATATGATTCCCAAATTAGAAGAATGCCTTAAGTAGTTAACATCAAACCACCTTCAGGTCTGGTCAGTTGAGGTCTAAAATATACTTCTAGTTTCCAATTTCTACAGTAGAGCTGGACATCATAAAAAGGTCTTAAGGTAATTTAAGGTCTGTTTAGCTTTCCTGAAACTTAGTTTTGCCATGAATTTCACATGGTTTCCAATAAAGACAAAAGAGAGACACAATAGTTCTTAAAATGGTTGCCAAAAGATTGACTACAATTAAACACTAGGTTTATTACTTAAGTCTGCATTTTTAAAGAATACCTGGAAAAATAATCAAACTACAAACAATTCCTACAGGAAACGTATCAGCTGAAATACTTTGTTATTTTAGCTGGGATTTCTAAGTCCAGATAAGCAAGACTAAGAGAGATTGCCTTGCAGGACTCAACACTGACAACCTTTTATTCTTTTCCACGCACAAGGGCGCATTAGCATAGGGAGCAGAGCCAGCCTGATAGGTTATGTTTCTTCAGTTCGTAGAAAAATGGAACATAGCACACAGCACATAAAAGGATCATTTGTCTTGGACTGTGACTTAAAATAAATAGCATATTTAAAGTACTAAGTTCTGCTTGGCAGAGTTTTGTAAAGTGCATTATTTCTTAAGTGAATTCTTAAGTGCACCATGGAATGCAGTAAACAAGCTCAATGTTTAGTCTTACTTTAATGTCTTCATATGAATACCCGAATGTGCAGAAACTTTAAGACAAGTGCTGGAATCTGACAAGAAAATCAATAGCCTTAGGGAAACACAAAACTAGAGAACAGCTAAACAATTATGGTGCATTAAATGGTGAGAAATTAAGTGCTAGAAATGACAGTAGAAAGAATAAGCCACAAGAAAGGGTATCCTGTTGTTTTCACAATAAATCTAGCAGAGGCTAAATGATAAAGCAATCTTCCCAATATAGGTATAGAATTATGGAATGATTCCTTGGAGAAAAACAGGAGGCTGAGCAAAACATGATGCATACTCGCACATTAAAGCAAATAAATACACCCAAACTGGATTAGCCAACAAGTCCTTTCCATCTTCAAATTCCCTGGATTCTCCCAGTCTGATTCAAAGCTTCCACTGACATTTGTGTTACCCATTCAATCATCTGGAGGGGAATAAATGCCAGAGTGCTTACTCAGCACGCCTGTGTTGAGTAAGCCAGAGAGCTCCATGTGCTTGTCGGTGAAATATTCCTAGTATTTCAGTGCCATGATTTAGTAAAGTCTTAGTTCTATGCTTAAGCAAAAGCATCATGTTCTTAAAGTCAATTTTCTCTGCATTCAACAATCAACTTGTTCTCCAGGACCCTCTTTCTACACATGCTGGACTTGCACTGCTACAACTTTCAAGACCAGTGTGGGCTGAGAGGTTTGAGGATTCTG